TTAACACCTAAAAATGTAATAAAAATCCACAAAGCAATTGTTTTTCATTTAGTGCAATTTGTGAAACTTTTAAGGAAAAGAAAACTTATCTGAAATACCGTAATGTTAGCTTTCTAGAGGCTCGCTAAATAATATATTTGCGCTTTCTTGCACTCCACGCCGAGATCCTTTTGCCACTGTCTTTTCCATGGAGATATGGGATAAAAATACTAAAATAGATAATCACGGAAATGATTCAAGATTCTAAATATTTAAATATAATATTTAAATGTAAAATAATAAATTATAAATACCATATGGATATATGATTCGTTCATAACATTAAAATATAACCAATTGCTCTTACAACTTACCATATTCTGCACGCTGTTGAAAAAATTTCGATCACATCTGCTATTTACTTATTTAAAACTCCCGAAAATTCAGGTTATTTCGCTTGTATGTCAAATCAGTCAAATGTGGTCGTAAGCGGACGTAAGGTTCAGTCGTAACGTCAATCGTGCATGGATTGTGACAATTAATATAGAAAGGTGGTCACTTTTCATTTTGTGAAAATTTCCGAGGGACAGAATTAATTACTAGTACAAGTAAAATAATTCTTTTTGGGTGCGTTCCGTTACTCGCATGATGCGCATAGACTGCATAGACAATCGTTCCGTTACATCTAATGCGCGCATTGGTAGAGCATAGAATTCCCCAGATTCCCCCCACCATTAGTGCATGAGGAGCGTATCAGCTACTGGAAGTTTTACTTCGAGTAGCTGATGCGCTGTCTATGCGCGCCTGTACATACGTAAATTTGGAAATTTCTAAACAAACACGTTTGATGTTTAAAACGCTTTCCTTCATTAATAATAAAAATGGGAGATCTCATGGAATTTCCTATGTTATTAAATGACGAAGTTATAACGCTATTTGTGAACAAAGAAACTGTCGAAAAAGCAACAAGAGGTAAATATTGAAACTTGAAGGTTATGTTTTACTATTGCAATCGTAATTTTAATTAAAAATTAATAAATAATATTAATGAAATTAATATATTATTTCAATACAGATCAAAACTTCCTGCAACAGTTAATTAACAAAACATTAAATAAAAATGCAGAAACTGAATTGCTTGCTAACACCCCAACAACCACACTTACTGACTTACCAAATGAAAACATAGATAACAATTTGAAAGATACAGGTTTGTTTTTTTCTAGTTTTTTCTCATAAACTTTGTTTTTAAAAATGTATATCCCATATATTTACGGATATTTGCAGAAGAGACCGCCTACGCACTGACAAGCGTGTAGCATGCGAAGAAGAATTACACTGATCCCAATAATTTAATGATATTTTCAGATACTGCAAAGAATTTTATGTGGCCAGATAATGCGGTGTATCTTCTGCTAGAATTATACCAAGAAAAGGAAGAAATGTTTAATAGCTCATTTAAAAAACATAATATTTTGTGGAAAGAGATTGCTACATCAATGAGGGAAACAAATAACAGTTACAATGTGACAGGACAACAATGTTCTAATAAATTATCTAGATTGAAGCGAACGTATCGAAATATTATCGACTAAAATAAAAAAGTGGCAATGGTCGAAATTCGTGGGAATTCTATTCTGTAATTAGCAATTTTTCGGTCATTCAAGCAACGAAAATATAATAAAACATTTTGTTTATTTTAATAGATAATGGATTCAATATTTGGAAAAAAAGCATCCACGAAACCGCCTGTTGAGGCATCCAGCGATGGTCCACTACAACCAACACCATCGACTTCGAATACATATACCTCAACTTCAACCCCTGAAGTCCAAAGTAAGTATTTTTAAAATTCACATGAAATTGAACTTCGTTTATCATTATTTCAAAGAGCTTATAAAAAATTAATAGAACATCTGAAATCATAATTACTATAGGCCTATAATCTGTAAATAAAGTGTTTCTATTTGTATAATATTATTGTATGTTTAATTAAATAATAATTATTTATTTTTTATAATTACATATGTATATTGTAGCCATAAAATTAAAATATACTTTTATTCAACATTATTTTTTATAATTAACCATATTAGATGCAACTAAGAAGAGAAAGGTCGAAACCATACTAGAAAATTTCATAGTCAATATTCGTGAGGAAAGAGAGATTGTAAAAAAACAACGGATCGAGGATAATCAAATTCGTCAACAAAGTCGAGAAGCGAAATACGTAGAAGAAAGACGTGAGCGTTTAAAAATGCATAACGAAAAAATGGAAATATCTAAATCTTTGATAAATATTTTAAACAAATTAGTTGATAAGTAAAATAAATAAGGTAGTTAATAAGTTTCCTAATTATTTTAAAGAGTTCAAGTTCTAAAGTTTATAAGTTTTAAGAGTTGTAAAAATGCATTCTAGTTTTTTTACGTTTAAAAGTTCTAAACATGTATTTTTAAATGTTTAAGTTTTAAGAGTTGTTTTAAAATGTGTTCCAAAGTTTTTGTACTAAAGATATATAAATTTTTTTTTATACCAAAGATATAAGACAAATACTTAATAAATAGATTTTGATAGTGAATAATTATTTATTTTTCATAATAACATATGTACATATTTGTGATGTATTTAGCACGGTTAGTACTTCTGTAAGTACGCACACCGTATAGTAGCGCCGGTCTACCCAAATGCGGCGTGCTCAGGTTAAGTTAGTTGCGTACGTGCCGCCAAGAGAGAGAGCACACGAACTCCGGCACGGTCGTAAATGTACTAAGATTTTATTAATTAAATATATCTCAAGGGGAGTAGTGAGTTAACTTTATTTAAGAAGCATCCTCGCCACTCGGGAACATAATAATATTAATTTTTTTACTCTAAATTAACTAAAATTTATGCTAAAAACTACTAAAATCTACTCTAAATATTGTTTCTTACAAATAATGAGAACAGAAGTTTAGTACACAAACTTCATTGTATTTTCATTTCCAAAGCATTCATAATTCTATTTCTTTTTTCTTTCCCTGCATTACCTGCATTATCCGCATTATCTAATACAATGTTTGCTTCATCGTCATGTTGTACTAAGCCTATAACCATTTCGTCATTTTGCAGTAAACAAATATTATGTAATACGCAACACGCAACTATAAATTCTGGGATTTTCTTGATATCCGTTAATGGCAAGTAATCAAGTAATATTCTAAAACGAATTTTGAGTTGCCCTATCACTCTTTCTATAGCCATTCGTGTTGATGACAAACAAAAATTGAAATTTGTTTGTCGCCGGGTTAGATGCCCGTTATTTCTTCTGAATGGCACCATAATGTTTGGGTGAATATTATAGACAGCATCTCCAATGATGTGAGAATCTTCTGGAAAATACTGTTCGGGTAACTCAAGAAATCGAGCTACCGGCGAGTTCCGAAATACTCTGGCATCATGCACAGATCCCACCTGCCCAGCGTAGCAATGCGTAAATAATCCTCGAGAATCACAAATCATTTGAACATTCATGGAATGAAAGCCTTTTCTATTTATGTAGGAGTCTGCATCTTCAGTGGGAGCTCGGATTTTAATATGCGTTCCATCCAATGGCGCCAATAACATTAGGAAAGCCACATGATCGTTGGAATCGCTCCATCACATCTAAAGCAACTTAGTTTCTCGGCCATCTAATAAAACGAGGTGCCACATAATGAAGAGCATAAGTCACTCGCCGTAATGCTCGAAAAGCCGTAGCCCTCCCTACACCGAATTTTGTAGCAATAGATCTGAAACATAAATAATATTATATGTAAACTAAGAACATTGATTTGAATGAAATTTTATATATGCAGAGCTGGTAAAAATATATAAAAAAATTTTTTTATTTCAACTTGTATGTAATTTTAAATCAAAAGATTTTATATTTTATAATTCAAATACAAAGATTGTCAAGTATTTTATATTTCAAATATTTTTTTTAGCCCTGCATATATGTATATATGTATATATATGCATATGTGTCGAGTTTATTATTATATAAAATTTGTATGTAATATACCTGTACGAATCAGGCATTGCCATAAACCAAATGGCGATAAGCAATTGCTTCTCCTCCGATATTGGCTTTCTATTACAAAGATAATTATTAGTGGCACGTAATCCGCAAGTCCAATTGTTGTCAGTACCATTTCAAATGTTTGAGGAAACATTCTAAAAAAGTTTAACATATAAAACAATATTCAATAATTTTAATTATTTACAACTGTCACATTTTTAGGTTATAGTAAAAATATTTAACGAAAAACTTCGTCCTATTTCTTAATTTATTCAATTATTACTCACCGAAAATGTTCTTTGAATACTGTTTTTGAATAGCCGGGAATAACCCTTTCTACATAATCACTTAATTTTTCTGAAATGATCATTTCTCCCCGCGTAGTATCAAGCATTAAAATAAAATATAATATTTCTATTACCTTGTATTAATTAGCATTTTAAGATTTATGATGACTTAATTTTTGTGTAATTATTGTATTTAGATTTTGACATAATTGAATTTCTCGCATTTAAACGATCAAATTCTAACACTTGAATTTTAATATGACTATATTGATGTTGAAACTATTGTGGATTGAAAAGAAGAAAGACACCAATAAAGAAGGTTATACATTATTTAACTGTTATCGAAAATTAGGGTTCCATTTAATTTGAGACTATTGTAATTCATTGATGAAGGCTCTGCAGTGTAGCCGAAACGTTTGAAATTTGATGTATGAAATGCATGTATGATGTCTTTGTAAGATTATATTAAATATGAATATTATGATTTGTTAACTTTTAAGATCTAATTATTGCTCGTAAAGGTCGTACATTGATTGTTGTTTTATAATATTTCTAATTCTTCATTTAAACACAACTCCTCATTTTCATTATCGCTGTTAGAATCATCACTGCTGTTAGAAATACTTTCAATCTCTTCATCATTATTTAAAATAATTGAAATTATTACACTCAAGATTGTGTTATCCATGTTTTTATATTTCGCCGCATACATCAAACTGCATTACAGCATTAAACGCATTCAATCATTCCGTTTCTAAACGTGCATACTGCGCATTAACGAAACGGAACGCTATCTATGCGCGCAGCGCATTGTCTGCTGTCTTATATGCACTCGATGCGAAAAACGGAACGGACCCTTTATAAACAGTTAAATACATTCTATAACTACAATTACTACCTTTTCTACTTGTATTATCGGTGATTGTACAATTCCCGTATTTATACTGGGAGCAGCATTGGTACTTGTACTGGGAATAGCATCCGTAATGTTCTTTTGAGTCTGGAGAAATGAATTCCAAGATATCAGCTTTGCAATGCGTGTATACTAATTAAAAACATGAGAAAGTAACATTTGTCTTTGCATTATACTTACACATGGATCGTCAGCAATACTTTCATCAAGATCAGGCACATCTGTTGTTTGACGTTGAGTCGATTATCTGTTATATTGATTGTTAGTTGTATTTATTGTTATTTCTTTGTGGTGTCTTAATAAATGATTACGAAGGTTATTGGTATTACCACTACAAGAAACTTCTCTTTGGCATATTTTACAAGTACCTATATTTAAACCTTTCACAAAATATTGCCATGCACCGCTTCTTTTGACTTTACCCATTTCAAATGGTCTTTCTTCACGCACTCTACAATTTGTAGTTTATCAGTGTGGATGCCGTTGCTTCCGCTATTAAGGTACGTTTCCACTAAGTACGTCACGCGTTGCGTCGTCCATCGCGTCACGATGAGACGCGAAAGAGAGAAAGAGAAGTTTATATATGTATGTATATATGTATGTATACATACATATATACTATGTAGTTTATTATGCATTTCACACACTTGTGCTTACATGGACTTCCAATACGAAACATTTACATTTAAATATCTTTACAAAAACTTAATCTACCTAAAAACATTTAATAATCTACGCAACTCTTACACATCCCGCGGACTAACACACACTCTCTCTCTCTCTCTCTCTCCCCCCCTTACTCGCTCTATCATCTCCATCCATCTTAATCCTCTCCCATCCTCATTTAATACATCTCCATCTTTATCTCCTTTTTCCTTCACATACTCGCATCTGTTCTTTAAATGCTCAACATTCTCTCTCTCTCTTGCACACAGTCTACACTTTCTCTCCTCCTCATCCATCCAATACTTATTTCCCCTCTCCTCATTCCCGCACCTCCACCTCGCTATTTTCACCAGTCTTTTTCCCTCCTTTCTCTTACCCATTCTTATATACATTGGTACCCCAATCACTCTCCCGTATCCTGCACAAGACTTAGATGCTCTCACTTCCTCTCCTCTCTCTTGTTCATCCACTTCTATATCCCTTTCTCTCAGAATCTCCCATTTATTCTCTCCACATTCATTCATGGCTTCTTCACTCATACCTCCTCTCCATAGATACTTCCCCCTCTCCACACTCTCTCTTGTCCATTCACTCCTATCATTCTCTCTTTCGCTCTCTTTCTTCTCCCCCATGCACATCATCCCGATTTCCCCTCCCTTTCCTTTCTCTAATTTTTCCTCAAACCTTCCTGCCCTCCATCCCATCTCTACTCTTAATTTATTTCTTTTCAACTCCTCTCTTGCTATATACCCTGGTGTTACCCTTTCCAACCCCAAAATCCACTTTAGATATTTTTCCTGAATCGCTTCCACCTCCTTCCATTCTCTGTATCCCCATATTTCCACTCCATAAAATAAAATTCCCTTCACTATACTGTCAAACAGTTTTAACCTCCATCTTACATCCCCCTTAAATTTTCTCTCCCCATAACTCCATACCCATCCCATTGCCACTCTAGCTCTTCTCACCCTTTCTCTCACATGTTTCTTATCCCCTCCATGCCTTGTTATCACTACACGTAGCTGACGTATTCCATGAGAAATAAGCGAATATTTACTTGGTTACGGAGTTTACATTCGTTTACTAGGGTACGGAGTTACATTCGTTACTTCAAAATTTTTTTGTGGACAGATAAGTAGGTCAATAGGAGTACAAAAGGGGAAAGATATACGATCCTCAATAGCACAATGTTGTTTATTTTTGTTTAGTAAATATAACAGCGAAAAATAGCCATTTTATTTCCATTATATACATATACACAAACTTTCTCAATCTCTCTCTCTCTCTCTCTTTCGCATCGCGTTGGACGATGCGACGCGTGACGCACTCAGTGGAAACATGCCCTTAAGGTGCATTCCCATGCATACGTCAAGCATCAAGCAGCGGAAGCAGTAATCAATGGGTGCGTTCAGCGGACTCAACAATTGAGTGAGCGTTCGCTGTTATTGGTGTATTCTTCTAGATCCAAAATTCTGATTGGATGATCCAAAAGAATACACCAATAACAGCGAGCGCTCACTCAACTGTTGAGTCCGCTGAATGCGCCCAATCAGTGAGGCGATATGAGGCAACCTTAGAGTGGAAACGTGAAAAGCGAAAACGTTTTAATTGAATCGATCTTTGGTCTAAAGAATCGATTTACACAGGATTAATCGAAGCAGTAAAATCGATCTAAAAAATCGATTAATCGGTGTAAAAGAATCGATTCCTCAAAAAATCGAATCGAGATCGCCTATCCCTAGTGTATAACCAGTAGCGTACTACCAGTTTTGCTAGCCACCGACTGATTCGGTGTCGCTACCCATCAACACGGAGTTCTTGGCTGAGTATTCAGGAGCCTTAAATCTATTTGTTATAATCATGGATTATTAAAATCATAGATGTATATGATCGATGCCAAAAAATCGACGCGGAAACATAGAAGAGATCTCACTAACGAGAAGCATAACCAAGTGCAGCGCTAAGCGCACATGTTGCACCTTATCACTCCTCGAGATCAATTGTGTATTTCGAAATGACGTGAAAATTACAAAATTATGCAAAAGTGAGCAAATTTACTAGAATATTTATAATATTATTGGTCAACAATTAATAATTCGTTCAATTTTGTAATTTTGACTTTGTTTCAAGAAATACAATTGCACGCAACGTAATCGAACTCAGAATACCAATCGGAACCCCGTATTATAAGTAACAATGAATAGGACTTTTAATTTATTACGGATTTTTTAGGAAGAATCGTTTCCGTCATTGCAAACTCCTTGCAATATTACAATTTCATGTAATAATATTATGTATAGATATATGTACACACATACAGCTTTTAAAAAAGTATGAAATAAAAGAATTTTAAAAATAAATTTAAGATATAACCTTAAAAAAAAAATTAAATTTGAATAAAATTAAAAAATAAAGCTTTTAAAAGTATGAAATTAAATTAAAAATATAATTGATGAAAACTAATATAAGAAACTAAAAAAAGTTAATGATATAAAATTATAAACTAAAAAAAAATTGACAAATAAAGGTAATAAAAAAATAAAAAACTGAAATTTTAAAAACTAAAAAAATTAACAACAAAACTAAGAAACTATATAAACTAAAAATTAAAAAAAATAAAAATGTAGATTGTAATAAGGTTCAATAAATTTAAAACTAATGGAGAGAAACAGGGCTACGAGCCAATAAATTCGTTAAATTCTTTCTTTTTTTTTTTATTTATTCTAATATATTGCAAAGA